TTGTCAGCAAAGTAATGTCTCTGCTTTTTATATGCTGTGTAGGTTTGTCATAGCTTTCCTTCCAAGGAGCAAGTGTCTTTTAGTTTCATGGCTGCAGTCACCATCTGCAGTGATTTTGGAGCCCAAGAAAATAAAGTCTGTCACCGTTTCCATTGTTTCCCCATCTATTTTCCATGGAGTGATAGGACCGGATGCCATGATCTTAGTTTTCTGAATGTTGAGTTTTAAACCAGCTTTCTCACTCTCCTCTTTCACTTTCATCAAGAGGCTTTTTAGTCCCTCTTCGCTTTCTGCCATCAGGGTGGTGTCACCTGCATATCTGCAGTCGTTGATATTTCTCCCAGCAATCTTGATTCCAGCTTGTGCTTCACCCAGCCTGGTATTTCTCATGATGTACTCTGCATATAAGTTAAATAAGCAGGGTGATAATATACAGCCTTGACAGTCTGTTGTTCCATGTCCAGTTTTAACTGTTGTTTCTTGACCTGCATACAGTTTTCTCAGGAGGCAGGTAAGGTGGTCTGGTATTCCCATCTCTTTAAGAATTTTCCACAGTTTGTTGTCATCCACACAGTCAAAAGCTTTAGCGTAGTCAACGAAGCAGAAGTAGATGTTTTTCTGGAATTCTCTTGTTTTTTCTATGATCCAGCGGATGTTGGCAATTTGATCTCTGGTTTCTCTGCCTTTTCTAAATCCAGCTTGAACATCTGGAAGCTCTCAGTTCACGTGCTGTGAAACTAATATAACGTTGTAAGTCAATTATACCTTAATAAAAACCAGAATCTTGGTCCTGATATCAGTATCTTCAGGCCTTTCCTCTTGGGCTGCTCAGATTCCTTGAAGAAGACACTGCATGTTTCCTCTCTGAAGAATAAACATAACCAGAGATCCAGGAATTAAATGGAGGAGGAGAGTTGGGAATCTTCACACCCAATATCCGTTAGTCATTTAATCTCCCTTTTTATACAGAGATCTCTGAATCAGCTCTCTCTGGAGAATAAGTACTTCAGTCTTCTGAGGAGTGGGGTCAGGGAGGTAGTTGAAGAAAGGGAAGGTGACTTGGAGATCTGACTGCTCTTAAACAGCTTCCAAACTCCTTTTTAAAATCCCTGCCCAGGATACAACCTATACATGGCAGCCCTAGTGGAGGTTGGGGGACCTACTGTTACCAACTCCTGAGACTTGAGGTATTCTGCAGTACAGATCAGCTTGGGTCTCAGCTTTTCCCACTTTGGGTTTCAGGTTCAGGTTTTCCCAGGCTTGTAACTGTGTTAACACTTGTCCATTTGCTTTTCAGCTTCTACTTTGTTTTCTCATTTTGCTGCTGGCTCCTCGCATTATTGCAGGCTTATGATTTGAAAAAATTCCATTACTATCATTTTAGTTGTGTTCTAGGAGGGAACAAAAGTAGTTCTGTGTATTTATTTTCATTAAGTGTTTAACACTCATAACTTTCAGGAAACACTGTCCTATACTAACATAAATCCTCTCTTGTTATCATTCAACCATTATTCTCTCCCACTTGTCCTTAGATATTTGAAAAAAAATATTTTTACTTGTAGATGATTGTAATTTAGAAAGAGTTCACTGTCATTCATATCCTTTAAAGTTTTAAGTAGCAGGAAACAGAGCCTCCCCTGGTGGCTCAGTGGGTAAAGAATCTGCCTGTCAATGCGGAGACACAGGTTCAATCCCTGATTACAGACGATCCTACATGCCGTGGAGCAACTAAGTCAGTGCATCACAACTGTTGAGCTTGTGCTCTGGAGCCCAGGAGCTGCAACCACTGAGACCATGTGCTGGAACTGTGGAAAGCCACAACGCCCTAGAGCCTGTGCTCTGCACCAAGAGAAACCACCGCAATGAGAAGCCCGCACACAACTAGAGAGCAGCCCCCTCGCTGCAACTAGAGAAAAGCCTGCGAAGCAAAGAAGACCCAGCGCTGCCAAAAATAAATAAATAAATAGCAGGAAACAATTGACCACTTTCCCCAGCAGATCAAAAATGGAGATGAGACATGTAGATATTAAAAATTATGTATCTAAAAGATTAGTTACTGCTGCATTGTTCATAATATCAAAAGACTGCACAAAGCCTAAAGGTTCATTGACAGATGACTTGTTAAATAAAACATCCTAATGCATATCTTTTTTTTTCCAATATTGGTTATATTCTCTGTGCTGAACAAAATATTCTTGTCACTTATTTTTCTTAAGATTTATTTTTGGCCGTGCTAGGTTTTCACTGCTGCTTACGGGCTTTCTCTGGTTGCAGTGTGCGGACTTACTGTAATAGCCTCTCTGTTGCACAGCACAGGATCTAGGGTGTGTGGCCCTCAGTAGTTGTGCCTGTGGGCGCAAGTGCCCCGAGGCACGTGAGATCTTCCCAGACCATGGGTTGAACTGTTGTCTCTTGCATTGCAGGGAGGATTCTTAACCACTGGACCATTAGGGAAGCCCAAGGCAGATCTTTTTTTTTTTCCAAGGCAGATCTTTATGTTCTGGTGTAGCAAAGTCTGTAAGGGCAGAATAGAGTAAGTATGTGAAAGTGAAAGTGTTAGTTGCTCAGTCCTCTCTGGCTCTTTGAAACCCCAAGAAGGACTGTAGCCCACCAGGCTCCGCTGTCCATGGAATTATCCAGGCAGGAATACTGGAGTAGGTAGTCATTCCCTTCTCTAGGGGATCTTCCCAACCCAGGGATCAAACCTGGGTCTTCTGCATTGCGGGCAGATTCTTTACCATATGAACCACCAGGGAAGTCCAGAGAGTAAGTATAGTATGCTATAGTTGGAGTTTTAAAAATATATTTATATAGTATCTACATTTGCAACAGTAGTTACCTCTTGGGAGAGGAACTAAGTGACTGGGAGACAGGCAGTAGAAGGAAGACTTGGTTTTCCCTTCCTTACCTTTTGCACTATTTGAATTTTACACCACAGTCCTACACTACTTACTTTAGAAATAAAGAACTAGTGAATAGTTTTTAAAAGGATATGCTCTATGACCTTTACCTGACAGAATGCCCCTCCTTGATTACTTCTATCTAGCCACGTTTCACTCTTTCTTCAAGATGTTAATTCCCAATTCCCTTTTTGGACAATTCCAGCTCAACTACTCTCTCATAGGATCTCCTTTGCTAGAAATTATTGTATATGGCAAATCACCACACATTGCTTTGTTACAGCACTTCTTCTTTTAAGTAGTATCAGCAATTTTATATTAAACTTTTCATTTTGTATTTTCATTTCTGTTTCACTGAGCCTTTTAGGGATTGCATGGGGATCTTCAAAGATAAAGAATGGCCAGTGGAGAATACGTGAGCAAGTAAAAGGGAGGGAGAACATGAGAAGGAATGCGAATATACTCCTTGGGGGCAGACTTCACATGCATTTACCAAGTAGAGGTTCATGTGAAGCAGTGATCCCTTTTCATACAATGCTAAGAGGCCCTGATTGAAAAGTGAAAGTCGCTTAGTTGTGTCTACTCTTTACGGCCCCATGAACTATACAGTCCATGGATTGGGTAGTCTATCTCTTCTCCAGGGGATTTTCCTGACCCAGGAATCAAACCAGGGTCTCCTGCATTGCAGGCAGATTCTTTACTAATTTAGCTATCAGGGAAGCCCCAAAACTCCTGATTCGGTAAAGCCTTTCCATTTCACATGGAATTCATCCAATTATCACAACATCACTTAGTTACAAGTGCTAAGAGCACTTATACAAGGAATGAGAGGTTGGGAGACAAAAGCTAACAATTTTGAAGCAAAATTCACGAAATTTTAGAGGGCATAAAGATCGACTAGCCCAAACTCTTACTTCATTGATCTTAAGGCAAGGCATTGGGGAAGTTCAGACTCAGTCTCAAGTCACCTCTTAAATTTAGTTGAGGACCTACAATATCCAGCCTGTCCAAAAAGATATCTGGCCTGGATAGAATATTGGGGCTTTACATAGCAAGAAAGATAGGAGGGCTCTGTGTCTGGAGAAGAGGAGAAAGAAAGCAGGAAAAGAAAAAGAGGTGGCTGTCAAGTTCTGTGTTCTTCCTAATTGTGTCCTGGGCTCCATGACAGTCTGTGTCATTAGAAGTCTTCCATATTAGCAGAGGGCAAGTTGATAATCAGAACCGGGTCCATATTAGCAGAAGCCAAGTTAAGATAATCAAAACTGGGTTGGAAGGCTACTAACCTCAACTTCCCCTTACCCAGCTCCATCTCTCTACTTTAAGAGACCAAGTGAACTTCAGCTTATGGCTCTTTAACGACCCAAACACACACACATCACCCACCCACCCCCAACTTTCTACACCTGAAAAAGGAAAGTGAAAAGGAGAATGCAATGCAAATATAGGAGTTTTCCTATTTCCATGAAATTTTCTGCCGGTTCCCCAGTATCTACTGTATCGGAAAGCGAGAGCCATTTAGGGTAGCCATGGTTATGGTACTAGCCTCAGTCTTGTTTTCCTTTCCTTTGCTATTAAAATCTTTCGCTCTGATTTCAGTAAGGCACTCCCCTTCTGCAGGAGTCCGGGTTCTGAAGAAGCTGTCTCACTTTAGAGACACTTTTGTAGGAAGGAGGAACATGCTTTTAAAACAGGGAGAGCGTGAGAACTCTGGGTGAGACTTGGGGAGAGTTATACCGGGTGTGTGCGCAGGGGTGTGTGTGTCGGGGGGAGGGGGCGGGGGCGGTTGGTAGCCTCCACAGTCTCCAGCTTTCGGAGCTCGGCCCTGGCGCAGACTACAAGTCCCAGAAGCCCCCGCAGTGACCCGGTGAGCTGCTGATCCTTCCCCTCACTCTTCCAAACAGTTGAGATAAAGGTTCCGTTCACGGCGCTCTGCGGGTTGGTTTGTTTTGAACGGCGGTGACGGAGGCTGGGAGCCCGGCCGACTGCAGGCAGGGGCGTCAGGAGGCGGATTCCTGCCGTCTTAAGCACGGGGGCGCTGGAGGAGGGGGGCCGGGCCTGAGGGCCGGGGACCGAGCGGCGGAGACAGAGCAGGCTGAGGCGATGGAGGGCGACGGGGTGCCGTGGGGCAGCGAGCCGGAGTCTGGTCCCGGCCCGGGAGGCGGCGGAGGGATCCGCGAGCTGTGCCGGGGCTTTGGTCGCTACCGCCGCTACCTGGGGCGGCTGCGGCAGAACCTGCGCGACACGCAGAAGTTCTTCCGCGACCTCAGGGGCTCGCAGCCCCGCGACTGTCCCTCCTCCCCTGCGGAGGGTGGCGAGGCCGGGCGCGGCCCTGCCGGCGACGTCGCCGCGACCGGGCTGCCGGCGGGTAAGGAGGGCAAGCGGTGACGGAGACTGGGCCGGAGAGGCGAGCCGGGGGGCGGGCCGCGCCCCTGCCCCAGAGAAACAGGCCAGGGAAGAGGCGGCAAGTGGGAGGAGGGCGGCGTGGCGGGGCCGGGGGCCGGCCGACTGGCTCTCTGAGGTGCTGTGGGGGAGGGGGCGCCGGGGGCCGGCCGGCGGGGCCAGGGGCGAGGGGCGCACCAGCCGGGGGTTTCAGGAGCCGGCTCGGAGGGACCGGCCGGCGGGGTCGGGAGCCGGGGGCCCCCGTTTGGAGGCTGCAGAGGTGGCGCCTAGGAAAGTTACTCTGAGTTCGGAGGTGAGCAGTTGTGCTTAGAGTCCCTGTTCAGGGATGGTGGAGTGGCGGGGGGCGGGGCGGGTGCAGGATGGGCGGTAGGCAGGGACCCTCAGGACCCCAGGAGACCAGGGGGCTGTAGTGGAGGTTGTGTGTGTGCGCGCATGTGCTTGATTTTGTATGTGAAATATACGTCAGTCATGAGGCAACTCTGAAGAAGTAAGGAATGTAGGTCTAAATGGGGCTGGAATCGCTCAAGGAAAGGATATCTTATATCTGCCACGGTATTGCCAGAGATGGCGGCTTGCGCTTATGGTAAAGTTAGGGAGGGGAAGGATCTCTCTCTCTCTTTTTTTTTGTCCTGAAATTTGACTTTTTTTGTCTTGAAACTTGACTTGATTCTCTCTGGCATGTATTAGAGACCTTAAAGCACTTAAAATCGTGCAGCGTCTTTGATCTTGCCTAATTTCTTGCTTCCTCTTAAACTGCTGTTGGTGGGAACAGGAGGGTTTGTTAACCACTTGGTCTAATTAGGAAATAACCAGTTGGATGGGAGAAAGGACTGGCGTCCCATGTAGTTAGATACCTTGGGATAACACAGCAAAGAGTCAGTGGATTTCATTCAGTGATTCTCCAACGTGATTTTTCAATCACGTTTTCAATCTCCAACAGTGATTTTAGTGTCCTAAAACTAAAGTAAAAAATATCTATCCCACAGATTGATTGAGTAGGTCTAGTGGGTGGGTCCTAAGAATCTAAATGCAAGCCATCCCTAAGGGATTCTGATGCAGGTGGGCCACAAACACACTTTCAGAAACAGTAATTTAGAGGCTGACGGCAAATTTGAACATGAGGTGTAGAATGCATTGAATTCTTAAACTCTTCAGAGTTCCTGTGTCAGGCCCTATATTTCCAAAGTTGCATGTTTAATATCCTAAATTTGTCTGAAACTCCAAAAATGGTGATAAAAATAAGATTCTGATTGATGATATTTCACTTAATTGGCCTGGATGTAAATAAAAGAGCTTTTATTTATCTCCTAGGATACGTGGGAGGAGAGGGATGACTAGCTCTTCTGAAGTTGTGGTTTTGACATCTGCCCAGAGATTTGCTGTTGTAGAATGGACCCATAGAGGAGATTGATTTCTGTGAAGCTATAAGAAAACTGATTTGTGAGAAGGGCGGCTGTTTTCAGAGATGAGCCCCAGAATGTGTACTCTCACCCTTTTCCTCAGCAGTGCTTTCCGGCAGCTTTCCCTGCTCAGGTTTTCTTCTGTCTTATCTTAAAAAGCCCTCTATTGCTGTAATTTTACAGTAACTGTATATTTTAGAATTACTATTGAAAAAAAAAAAGTAGATTCACCTCAGAGAGATGGAGGTTTTCAAGGCACATTGGTTGACTCTTGTTTTTATTCTTTAAACGCCAACTTAAGAAATGCAAATGCACCTTTGTATTTTGCCTCATTGGCTTTTCTAGTTGACTGCATCATGAACTCATCTTTGCGTGTTTAACTCTCTACACCCTCTGGAGTCTGTTCATCCAAAGTAAAAAGTAGGGGAGGGTACAGATGACAGGACTGGGAGCCTTTTGATTTTGTTCCATAAAGTGCTTCCATTAGTATAGAGTGGAGAGTTGGAGGTGAAAAGGAGAAATTATAGAGGTGGCACCTACTATGTATATTTTGGGGATCTGATTTTCCCAGCTGTTTAAGTGATTGTGTTAGAAAGTAGAAACCACTCCTTAAACGACAACTAATTCCTGTTCTCTCCCTTTACAGACCATCTCTTTACAAGGTCAAGTTCGTTCAAAGATTCTCAACTTTCTTCTGTGAATATTGGTTTCTGATTAATAGGAACTTGAAATGTTGAGGAAAGGAACACTCCAAGCTTAACCTCATAAACCTCCTGAAGGTTTTAATCATTGTTTCAGAATAAAAGTGTCTTCTTGGTTGGAATGTAGTATGGTATTTGAGCAATTGAAGATCAAAGACTAACTAAATTTTTATTATTTCACTTTTAACCACAAAAGAGATGGGGAGAACCCCCTAAATAATGCTTCCTTCTTAATTTTGACAGTTTTTTTACTTCACTGGGGGCAGTGTAAAGAGCATATAATGTACATGTACTTGATGTTTTAGAAGTTAAAAGTAGGTGGAATAAAACTCTGAAATGAGAGTTGCTTAGCCTGTACAGGAAAAACTGAATTATAAATTGCTTTGATTCAGTTCCTCCTTTAAAAAAAAAAAAAGCTTTATTTATTTATTTTTGACTGCTCTGGGTCTTCATTGCGATGCCCAGACTTCTCATTGTGGCGGCTTCTTGTGTTGTGGGGGCACTCGGACTTCAGTGGCTGCGTCACATGAGCTCAGTTGTGATGCACGGGCTTAGTTGTCCCATGGCATGTGGATTCTTTCCGGACCAGGAAACAAACCCTAGCATTGGCAGGTGGATTCTTAACCACTGGACTGACAGGGAAGTCCCAGTTCCTCTTTTTCTTCCCAAATCATTGGCATTCTTTTCACTTAACTATGGGGGCTGAGAGCCTGTCTGTTGATTTACGTCTGTCACGGGGTTCAAAGATAGTGAGATAAAGGCTTTGAGCACTTCTGGAGATAGGCAGAGTGGAGTATTGCAAAGTAGCAGAGGGAGAAGTATTTTTCTTGTTTTCTGGTCCAGTAAGAGTTCCAAGCTGTTGCAGTGTATCATAAACCTCTCGATTTTAAGAAGTTGGAATTACTCGAATCTGTTCAGTTGGATGGCTCTAGTCCTTTCCTCCTGTTTCTGGTCCTTACTGAGTGACTTTACTGTGATTTGCCACAGTTTTCCTCATCTGAACATGGGGACTGTAATAATAGTAGTTGCCTCTGGGCTTGTTGGGAGTTAATATATGTGTTTAGAACAGTGCCTGGTAAGGTGCTGTGTAAGTTTTAGCTATTAAAGATGGGCTCAATAAAGGAGAGAAATGGCGTGGACCTAACAGAAGCAGAAGATATTAAGAAGAGGTGGCAAGAATACACGGAAGAACTATACAAAAAAGATTTTCATGACCCAGATAACCACAATGGTGTGATCACTCACCTAGAGCCAGACATCCCGGAATGTGAAGTCAAGTGGGCCTTAGAAAGCATCACTACGAACAAAGCTAGTGTAGGTGATGGAATTCCAGTTGAGCTCTTTCAAGTCGTAAAAGATGATGCTATGAAAGTGCTGCACTCAATATGCCAGCAAATTTGGAAAACTCAGCAGTGGCCACAGGACTGGAAAAGGTCAGTTTTTATTCCAGTCCCAAAGAAAGGCAATGCCAAAGAATGTTCAAACTACCACACAATTGCACTCATCTCACATGCTAGTGAAGTAATGCTCAAAATTCTCCAAGCCAGGCTTCAACAGTACGTGAACCAAGAACTTCCAGATGTTCAAGCTGGATTTAGAAAGGATAGAGGAACCAGAGATCAAATTTCCAACATCTGTTGGATCATTGAGAAAGCAAGAGAGTTCCGGAAAACCACCTACTTCTGCTTTACTGACTATGCCAAAGCCTTTGACCTTGAGGATCACAACAAACTCTGGAAAATTCTTAAAGAGATGGGAATACCAGAACACCTTACCTGCCTCCTGAGAAATCTGTATGCAAGTCAAGAAGAAACAGAACCGGATGTGGAACAATAGACTCGTTTCAAATCGGGAAAGGAGTATGTCAAGGCTGTATATTGTCATCCTGCTTATTTAACTTACATGCAGAGGACATCATTTGAAATGCTGGGCTAAGCACAAGCTGGAATCAAGATTGCCAGGAGAAATATCAGTAACCTCAGATATGCAGATGACACCACCCTTATGGCAGAAAGTGAAGAGGAACTAAAGAGCCTCTTGATGAAAGTGAAAGAGGAGAGTGAAAAAGTTGGCTTAAAGCTCAACATTCAGAAAGCTAAGATCATAGCATCCAGTCCCATCACTCCATGGAAAATAAGATGGGGAAACAATGGAAACAGTGACAGACTTCATTTTCTTGGGCTCCCAAATCACTGCAAATGGTGACTGCGGCCATGAAACTAAAAGACACTTACTTCTTGAAAGAAAAGCTATGACCAACCTAGACAGCATATTAAAAAGCAGAGACATTACTTGACTGACAAACGTTGTCTAGTCAAAGCTGTGGTTTTTCTGGTAATCATGTACAGATGTGAAAGTTGGACCATAAAGAAGGCTTAGCACCAAAGAATCGATGCTTTTTGAATGGTGGTGTTGGAGAAGACTCTTGAGAGTCCCTTGGACTTCAAGGAGATCCAACCAGTCCATCCTAAAGGAAATCTGTCCTGAATATTCATTGAAAGGACTGATGCTGAAGCTGAAAACTCCAGTACTTTGGCCACCTGATGCAAAGAACTGAGTCATTGGAAAAGACCCTGATGCTGAGGGAAATTGAAGGCAGGAGGAGAAGGGGATGACAGGATGAGATGGTTGGATGGCATCAGTGACTCAATGGACATGAGTTTGGGCAAGCTCCGGGAGTTGGTGCTGGACAGGGAAGCCTGGCATGCTGCAGTCCATGGGGTCACAAAGAGTCAGACACGACTGAGCAACTGAAGTGAACTGATTATTAGTCAATAAACATTTAAGTATCTGGTATGGGGGGTGAAGAGTCAAATAAAAACTTTGGCCTTGGATTAGTGGGGATCAGTCTTTCCATTCTATAT